AAAGCCACTAGTGCTGTAAAAACTAAAGAAAAAAAAAAATATATATATGTATATATACCTCCTTTTAGCTGGTAGAGATATAACCAAAGCTAACCCATGTTTTCTGGCTCTTTTATAGCAAAGGCGCTCCATCAATCTTTCAATAAGATGCCATACGTTCAAGGGCCAAAATTTGTCTCTTTTATTTAAAAATAAACAGTCTATTCTCTATCTGAAACTGACAGGCTTTCAGACAGGAATATCATTATTCACCATACATGGCCATGCCTCCTGTTTAAAATGCTCTTTCTGATTCTGAAAAGTATATTTAATTTACTTGTTGACAGGTTTATGTTTCAATACTTTCCAGATTTTTTGATTTTCTACTTTATGAAATATGCTTTTTAATTAGGTGCCTCAAGGTTGTGCTATTGTTTATGCATCTGTCAATAGATAAGTCTATAACAGTATGATATATGAAATCAGGCTTGCCAAAAATATTTCTCCTTTCCCCTTTTCTTGCTGTTTTATAGCGCCAGCAGTTTGAATTCAATTCAGCAAATTCAAACATTGTTGAAGCTACTAAATGTTTACGCCTGTGCTTTGAAAGCCCTCTTCATCCAAAGTCAAGCTGATCTGTTTGGGTTGACGTCAGACTCCCCTTAGGAATCAAATGTCTGCAACAGCTGTTTGAAAAGACATGCACTTAGACGTGTTTGAGAGCCGGCGTGTTGACAACAGCAGACTCATAATCAGACGGCAGAGAAGGACATTACACCATTATGGAGAAGAGATTTGGAGCCTGTCTCAGCTCAGCTTTTTCTCTCTCCACTGCTTTCCCCACCTCTAGGGTGTTAAGGCTCTCTGCTGGTAATGACCATGCTGCAGACAGGACTTTTAAGCCTTAGCCTCAATTTAAATCAGCCCACAGAATGAAAAAAAAAAGAAAAACTCATGACTCAAGCCAGTGCCTTGAGGAGCCGTTAAGTCTTGGGAGGAAATTGACAGTTTGAGGAGCTCAGTTGCCCCAAGGTGAACCCCAGCCCCGCTGTGGCTCAGAAACCCTGCTGGGGAAGGTGCTGAGGTGGCTGTCTGAGGATGTGGGTCCTCAGGCAATAAGAGATGCTGCAAAAAAGGTCATCCTTCCATCCGAGCATGTTGTAACAAAAAGTCAGTCTGACTCATTTTAAGTGTAACTTAAATTGCTCTTACCGATGTCTTCCACTAATATTATCCACCTTCAACAACAGCTATGAAAAGTAGGAGAGGAAAAGGATGATATTCCCTTCATTAGTGCTCAGCCTGCACAGGCTTCTGCACTCGGCGTCTCAGGCATGTAGCTATCTGAGTTCCTCTCCTTACTGATGGAAGTTCATTTGTCCTGAGGGCACGTCGTACCTTCCTCCCCGTAAGACTGCCTCGGCTGTTAGTGCTGGCCGCTCCGGTGTGCTGAGAGAAGCAGGAGACTGTAATCTCCTTGGTCACACTCCGGCTCTCCTGTGGGACTGCAGGGATAAAAACTCAGCGCAAGACGGAGCGTCCACCAAACCCATGACCATGTTGAGAATTTCCGTGTAATTGTGAACCAAGCAACTGTGCGTTTTCCTTCTCCTCCTATATCACCAATACTCTCTCTGAAAGGTTCTGAATACGGAGGAGTGTTATAGAAAAACAACTAAGAAAATAGAACACAAAAAGGTGCAAATAAGACATGATACTGTATCTTGGTTCCGTTAATTTATACTGAGTTTGGTTTACAGCATGTGTTAAGACGGAGGGTCTTTTTTTAACTACTGTAGGTCTGGTTTCTGTCAGTTTTTTTTTTTTTCATTTCTTCCCTTTGTGGGTTGCAACTTTCAGAACCTGAAAGAAAACGTTTTCATTTTCTTAGTTTGTACTGTACAGCCATACCCAGTGCATGGCTGTACAGTACAAACTGTTGTTATCCTGCAAGCAGAACACTTCCTGCCCCCATCTGCAGTGGTGACGCCGTCACCCTTTGGGAAGATTATTGCAGGTATTCAGTGCTGCTTTAGGCCAGCTAGCCAGTACAAACACATCGATTAGCATTCTCTTTGCTCACCCTTTGGTCTGCACCTAATGGGTCAAGTATATGATTGCTGCAGTTGATACCTGACCACAAAATGATAAATTCAGTATTTCAATTTGAATTAAGCACATTCTAACTTTCAAATACAGTCATTTGATTTTTAAATCTATTTTTACAAATAAAAAGCAGTTTGAATTTAAAATTACATCATATTAATCTAATTCATTATTACGAAGGAGTATTAGAGCCAGGCTAGAGATTTTTTTTTTCAAATACGAGAATAAAGTTATAACATTATGAGAATAAAGTCGCAATATTATGAGAATAAAGTCGTAATATTACAAGAATAAAATTGCAAAATTACTAGAATAGTCATACATTTACGAGAATAAAGTCATAAAACTACGAGAATAAAGTTGAACAATTACACAAATAAAATCATCACACCATGAGCCATTTCAGAAAGAAAGCTTCGCGCTCTGACCAGTATATAACGGCCAAGGAATTCAGTATGCATGTGAGAATAGCACAGTCAATGTCTAATAAAACTCCTATAGCGTAAATTTTAAACACAATGTAGTTTCAACTCTTTCCTTAAATAACTAGAACTTCACTTTCACAAGTGGTTAGACTTCGTTTTTTTAGATATAAAACAGTCTAATAATACATCTAGTTAAAAATCTTTGCAAAAACTTTATTAATTACATTGTGTAGTTTAAAGGCTGAGCTTGCCGTCATGGGTTTCTGGCATTCTGACAGTCCTTTAGCAAAGAAATCACTAAGAGAGACCCCATTGGGGAGCCTTAGATTAACCTTGACCCCCTGTTATAACAGGGGGTCAAGTTTTGCACGCTAATTTCAGACAAACTCTAGTCTCATGATAAGCAATAAAACTTGACAACACACTAATGGACACTTCCAAACACTGGTTTCCTGTTTTCTGTCATTTATTTCTTTAGATTTTCTGCCAAAAAAGAAAAACAGATTGTCCAAATGGGGCTGTATGATATAAACAATTCCCCAGGAGGTTTTCCTGGAGCCTCATCCAGTCGCAGACTCCAGAAACTGCAGGGTGATGGTGAATGAGTGGCAGGCAGCCATGGGTCTCAGGGCTGAGAAAGGTCACTGAGTGGGACCTCATTCCTATACAAAATTCCATCAAGCTGAGCTAAGCAAGGTTGCATTCCCAGAATTTCCACATTTGGCAATTAAAAGTTGGAAATGTGTCATTATTTAATTCACAGTTGAGAAGTTTCTCCCTCATTTACTTTATTCCATATCCCCCCACCACCAGCTAGTTCGTTAGCTGAAATCCTTTCTTTCTCTATGGTTCCTCATCCTGGCCCTAGAATACATAACAGGTGTCAGCCGTACTCAGCTCCCCCAGCCCCAAGTAGACATTACAATTTCTGGACAAAATTATGTGGAATGGTCGAGTTTTATGAGAAAGACTTTTTTTCCGTCGACTGTAAATCTCCAGGCTCTGAAAGTTTATTTTTTTCTTCCCCGCCTTTTCGTCTCTGCTCCTCTGCTTCCTTTCCCACCTTCTGCTGCTTCTGCCTCTTTGCAAGGCCTCACAGGCTTATGTCATGTGGATAGTCCTTTTTTTCCGCTGTAGCGACTCTGAGACTGTGGGAAGCCGTTTCCATTTTCACAGTTGTTTTTTCTCCCCCTCCTGCGTGGAATATTGTCATTTAACTTCTTCCCGTTAGAGCATGCAGAAAAGCCTTCAAGGTTTTAAAGGGACTTGATCCCCTTTTCCAGACATATTCTCAGGGGATTATGCAGTGAGGCCCAACTAAAGCACCCTTAATAAAATCAAAATAAATAGCCCCCGTTACAATGGGAGATGCCACATTTTTCATTTCTGTTTTTGCAGGGGATTTGTCCTGAAAAGGGAGTATTATTGTGGAAACAGCTCAGTGCCTGCAGAGGAAATACTCTGCCCTTTAGGAGCACCCACACATTATAGCAGGGGTTTATAAATGCGCCAGAATGCTCAGTGCCTTGCCTTAATATCCAAACTCTATGAATTTTTCACCTTTGGTCACAAATTTTATTGCATCTGGTTTGGATTTCATGACAAAGTAAAATGCATAGAATACATTTATTCTTAGCATTTTTAATACATTATAATACTTTAATGACACAATTAGGCTGGATTGTTGTCGCAAAGAGATTAGTATATAATTGCATATCTGAAAACACAAAATAGTCATTGGCCCAATTTGCTTACAGGCCCAAAAAGTTTTATTTTGATCTTATCCGACCTGAGGCCTTTGATTATGCTCCGTTAATATTAAATCCCTTCAAATAACATTATAGCTGGTGGACTGTATGTGAACGTGTGGTAAAGGTAGTGCTTTTCTATGCTGCGCTGTATATAATTGTATTTGCCAGCACGGTTCTTCCTTGTGTGTCTCAGTTGGAAGTAAGCTGAGGTTTTAAAGCCAAAATGGAAGGGTTTAAGTGTGCCTTAGGAAAGCTTCTGGCATCTTGGTCGCGTGGCACTCCAGGGCAGCAAGAAAGCATTTACTGCAGATTAGAGCTCCTCTCAAGTGTTTCACAAAGTCAGCCTTAAGCTTGGAAATTGTTCCCAAGGCTATCCACCAAGCTGCGGTGGAGAAAAATGTCATCAGAAACACATCCTAAATGTGTTTTTTTTTCTTCCTTTTCTTGCACACATAGTATTTTAAGAGGTCATGCATTATAATTTTTTCCATATCTTAATTTTTTTTTCTCATTCTTTATCATTCAAAGTGCTGAAACATTGTTATTTGTGCCATAATTTTCCATATAAAGGAAAAGCTGACAGTACAGTACCCCTCCAGATTTATTAAGCCTTTGTAACTGCTATGGTTTAGGGATTTCACCGATCCATCCAGTCTGAACATGAATTTATAAATTGTTTTATTCTTTTTGAAAAATGTCCCATTTTTTAACAGCTGCTTGTCTTATCTGTATTATCTAGGTAACTACCCTCGCCCCTCTAACTACATCGGATCAACAGGAAGCAGCTACAGTGGTCATTGCAACAGTATGGGTATGAATGCTACCAGCCCAATGCATGGTCAAGGCCCCGGAGGAAGGAGCCACGGCCCTGGAGGCCAGAACAGGACCTACCCAGTTATGGGTCCCACTTCTCCCAGCATGCCACAACCAGCTGGGCCAGGAATGGGTCCTCCATCTAATCGCAAGCCACAGGAAGGAGTGGTCGCCAACTCCGTTCACAACAGGTAAGAGTATTACAGGGCCAGAAAGCAATGTTAAAAAATCTTTTGTTTTTTTTACAATGACATTATTAGAAATTAAACAAGCTGAAAATAAGCTTTTTTCTTCATACTTTATATCTTAAGAGGTGGGTTCCCTTATAATTAAGACTTTGGGTACTTTGTTGCTGCTTTTGATTTAATTCCTTAGACAGATTTTAAGCTGACTTTTGGAACAGCTGCAGAAAGCCTGAGAAAAAATGACCACTGCACAAAGACATGTCAACACCCTATGAAAGTGCAAAATGAAATATAAAAATTTTTTCCTCAACATCAACCAATCATCTGATTTTAGCCTCAACATCACCTGTACTTGTATAGCGCTGTATTGAGTCAAGGGACCCCACTGAGCTTCACACACTGATGGTAGTGAGCTAGATTATAGCCACAGCTTTCCTGGGCCTCGCTGACAGAAGTGAAGCTACCAAACGCAGTTATCAACAGGTCCTCCGACCACCATCAGCAGGCAAAGCAATCCTGCCCGAGGAAACAACTGATAGGATGAGAGCTGGGGTTTGAACTTATGACCCTTTGGTTGCAGGACAAAGTCCTGCATCTTGCACCACTTTCACTCCAAATCTTTTTGCTGTAGACATGTTTTTTTACGCAGGTTTGAAGCCCTTTCAGATGGTTCAATACCATTTCTAGGCTTTTTATGATTGCTGAATGTGAACTTAAGACAGTTATCTTCACATTAACCGGTTAAAGTCATTGAATATACTTCGGGGCCTGGGTTCCACTCCTAGTTGTGTCAGACAGGCCCTCCAGAGTTTAAAGTTTTCCAAGTCTGTGAGTGTATCATAATGACTGGCTCTGGCAATCAGTAAATATAGAAGCGTAATTTGATTGTCCCAGGTGCAGATCAATGCTAAAATTGTCATTTAAAATCAACTTATTCAACGAATGCATTTATTTCCTGTATTATAGTAGTTTAAGTCTTTGCCTGTAATGCCAAGGACAAGGATTTGATTTCTTGTTGCACCTGGAGCATCAAATTCTCCATGTCTGAGCAAGTTGTAATGACTTGCTATGAATACAAATAAATCCGTTTAGTTTTATTACAAATAATTTTCATGTTACACACATCTACACTACATTTAGTGGCCCTGCGGAGGATGAAGTTAGACGTGTAGAGGTTGGGAAAAAATGCATAGTCTGGCGTTTCGTTCTGCACTTTCAGGGCCCGACATTTGACATGGCTGCTTAGAACAGACAACTTATATGGGCACGGAACAGATTGCGCTAAGTTAGCACTAGGTCTAGGGGGCCCATGACGGTCTAAATAATAAAAAGTTCTAAATTTAGAAAAATGCATTAAAATGGAAGCTCAGAGCATTTTAATGCTCTGAAATTATATATCAATGAATTGTTTTTGCACCACATTTTTTCTCCCACTCTGTTTACATTCGATCACTGCTGCACTCCAAGAAATGGAAATGTCATGAAAGCTGTACAAAATGAAATTTTGTTTTGTATACACTCTGTGTATACAAAATGATGATAAAAGTTGTCTAGATCTAAGTAAATTAGATGTGCACCAGAAAAGAGACATCTGACATTTCAATCTGCAACAATATCACATTTTCTAGGTTGCAAAGGCAACCTAGAAAATATGAATATAGACGAGTCTTTGCTCATTGCTGTGCAACAGGTATGTAAGAAAATATAAAAAATTATCTACATCTGTAGTGGATGTCTTTATGACATGCATATTGTAAGCAGAAAAACAACAAATATAGACTTTTAAGCAGCTCTTTACATTTAGTTATAGATTGAAATATAAGATTAGAGTGATAATCCATTTCATTTGCACCTAATTCTGAAATGAATGTTCATATTTTTTGACTACTGCAGTGAGAACCTAGTCAATGCAGCAGAAATAGTCAGCAAATGTTTTAGTAAAATCAAGGCCTTGTTCAACTCTCTCTCCTTTCACTCCTCTAGGGGCCATTTAAGAACTTATCTGAACATATCTCATAAAGTCCTTGATATCTGGATTTTAGAGATAATTTATTGCAAAAGATATATAAAAAAGATGCAGGTATTGGCTTTTCACAGGGAAGTGTGTTGTGGACACAGTATATTCAACCCAAGAGAAGAAAAGGTACTAATATGCTGTAACTGTGAGACCACCTGAGATGAACCTGACACCAAGGTCCAGAAGACACACAAACAAAACACAATATTGCTTTAAAAAAAGTTTTATTAAAGGGGTTTAATTCTTCCATCAGTGCCGGTGCCTTGACCGAATGCATGTGATGCCAGAGAAAGAGATTTCTTGAGGGACTGTGTGGGCAGTAAACTTTCTCTGAACCCTGCTCAAGGGAACCTGGGAAAACATAACTGTCGCCTGTGAAGACTTCCTGATTCCTGGTAATTTGTGGGGCTTTTTTCGTAATAATCCATCATGAGAGCAGTTTTGCTGATGTTCTGTTGAAACCGAGTCAGATTGCAGTTGTAACTTCCCTTTGTTGTTTATGATCTGCAGCCTGTCTCCAACAATAATTCCCCAATTAGTACTCATAGAAAAATGCAACTTTGCAGGGTTATGGTGAGGGATAGGCTTAGGGTTATGGTTAGGGTTAGGCTTAGGGTCATGGTTAGGGTGTAAGATGCACATAAATACACCCATCAACATACAGTTTTTAGTTTGATGTCCATCTACGTCCAAATACCACAGATTCTTTATTTTTAAAAGCTACAATGTGTAATTTTTAGTGGCATCTAATGATTAGACAGCAGATTAGAGCGACCTGCTCCAATGTAATAATGCATAGTAATTTCTAAGCAATATAAACATAAATATTCAGACTTTAAGTTCAGAGATTATAATGAATAACATATGTATTTTACTTATGTATAATATATTTCATTACTGTCAGTAAATCCATGCAATTATTACACACTGTAGCTTTAACATGCAGATAAAATGCAAATTTGGTGGAAATCTTCTCACAATGACACATTAAAATGTGAACAAATCTCCTGTTATTCCATGTAGACACTCTGTCTGTGCTCATAAAGATTAACGATTCTCACCAGCATAGTTTTTTTTTGTTAGCCAGTAATAATTTTACCTATTCAGAGCACTTAGACTGTGAGCATTGAGCGTTATTCTTAGATGGTCGAGTGATTACTGTTTATGGAAAAAAAAAAAAAAAGTTTTACTGTCTTACGCTCCTTTATCATTATAAGTGCTTATTATGCAAAACAGATTGGATCTTAAGCAATAAGAGCATTTAGTGAATAGAAAATGTGTCACTGAAGCTTACAGGTAGAGTTTAAATGGCTGATAATACTTATGAGATAAGCATAAGACTTAAATAAGATGGTCCCAGGTCCAACTTTTTCGAAGTAGAGCCTATCGTGCTAAACAGCTCCAGTCTGATAATTGTCATACTGTTTTATTAAAGAGAAGTTGATGATTACATGATTGAAAACTGTGGCAGGAGGTGGTGCTCTACTAAAAACCATCCTCTTTGAAAAGTATGTTAAGCATTTCCTGTATTAGGAACTGCCTGCATTAAATGTAAGAGGGTTTAGAACTGAAGATCCTGTTTTAAATTGTGTGAAGAATAGAAAAGCTTAGCTTGTTGTGTTCTCTGTGTTCTCAGAAAACATCACTGGCACAGCGCTCCTTCCCATTTAAATATCCATTAAGTTCTTCATAAATGGCCACTCTGTATACAGGATGCAATCTTAAAAGTCCATTAAAAGCATTAGAATAAATTACTATTACATTTTAAAAATTAGAATTGTTCTAAGATGGTAGAAGTCATGCATTAGTCTTGACTGCTGTCACACTAAACATTAGCCTCAGCCTCTGTGATCAGCTAATCTGGATTTATACTAAATTAATACACCACAAGAGTTATCTGCTAATTGATTTTAAAATGCAAAATTATCCTTTATAGAATTCAAACCCTTACTCTTTTACATTGACAGCAGCATAAATATTTTTTTTAGAAAATTATATAAACATGAAAATGATGCTCCTTATCATCAAATGTTGTGTCGGTTTTCCAACAATCATAAAATGTCAAAACGCATAGATCAATTGCTCAACTATTTTAATTTGCATCTTCACAGCAGTTATCAGCATCATAAGAAGCAAATCACTTTACAGCGCTTGTGCAGAGCGCAGCGTTAGCACTGTTTTAGGTTTCTGTTCACTTGCTGGAACAGCAGTGCATTCCGGGGAGGGTTGGGGGAGTCTGATGGTACGTATGTATGATTAATTATGTGCATCAGGGGGTCTACTGCCTCTCACACAGACACACATACTTATGTACCCAGGCAGCAATGCAATTGTTGAACAAGCCATTAGGAGATGGCTGGGCTGTCAATAAGAAGTGACATGACATGATCCCCACTGCTGAGCCCAATGAGGCTGGCTGTCAGTCTCTGCACCAAGAAACCAGAGCGGTGTCGCTCACTGTGGAACAAGGCTCATTTTCTCTAATTCAAACCCTATTACCTGAAAAATCAGCTATTTTTATTTATTATTAACATCAAAGATTTCCGAAGTTGAGTGTATTTTTATTCTGTGTTGACTGACCCGGAGTCCTCGTCCTTTCTTTTCTGAAATCTTTTCCATAATCAAAGCTTTCCTAGTTGTCAAATTGTTTATTCAATTCAAGCTTATATTCAAGAAGCTGGAGAATAGCAGTAATTTACAGAATTATGTAACTTGATAACTTTTTTGTTATAGAAACACAAAAAATATATATTTTAATTTAATAAAATCAAATATAAAATATAAAATTCAATTCACTTTATTTATATAGTAGTTCACAACACATATCATCTCAAGGCACTTTACAACTCAGCCAGATCATACAGTCAGATTGATTCTAAATTTTCTATGTAAGGAAAACCAGCCAATTGCATCGACTCATTGATAAGAAGGCAGTACCTCACACTAAGCATGCTTAAGCAAAAATGGAAAAAGCAGAAAGTTGTGGATA